ACTTTGGGAGGCAGAGGCGGGCAGATCATGAGGTCAAGAGATGGAGACCATCCTGGCCAGCATAGTGAAACCCTGTCTCTATTAAAAATACAAAATTAGTGGGACGTGGTGGTGCATGCCTGTTGTCCCAGACACTTGGGAGGCTGAGGCAGGAGAATCACTTGAACCTGGGAGTTGGAGGTTGCAGTGAGCAGAGATCATACCACTGTACTCCAGCCTGGTGACAGAGTGAGACTCTGTCTCAAAAAAAATAAATAAAATAAAAAATAAAAATAAAAGAAGACATGGAATATTGGACGTGTAGGTAGGGGAGTGAACGAGGAACCAAAAAATGTAATTCACATGGATAAATGTTCATAGATAGAATAAAGTGTCTTGGTCTGATTCCAATTTCAGTGTCCCCAGGAATACTGTAGCATACTTATTAGAGTCAGCCCCTATGCACTGTGGTTAGAATTTTAGATGCCATATCAGGTGCGCTGTGGAGGTGTCTGAAGACAAGCATCCTACCTATTGCTCCAGCCAGTCCTCTGTACACATTAGGTGCTGAAGAAATGTTGCTCCATATGTCACCTGCTCGCTTAAAGTCAGATCTTGGAGAATTGGGGAGAGGATGTTCAAATTAAACCTTTGGCAACACACGTTTTATTGACTGAATCTTCAGAGGCCGCAGACAGGTGCCTGATGAACTTCAAATTAAACTTTAAATTTCTAAAACTTTGCTGCATACATACATAAATTATAGTGCAGCTTGCATACCTAAGAGAGATGGTTTTGCTTTTTTAAAAGATATTTTCGGAGTTACAAGAAAGAATTCCTTTAACCACCAATCCCAGAAAAGGGGATTTTGATTTGGCCACACTAAGGTGAATGTTTAAAAGTAGAAACCACACCTTCCCTACTCCCAAAGGGAAAGTAATCCCGGGGAGTTGTGTCAGAACAGGTACCTTCTGTAGTAAAGTCCTTTTTTAAGGATGAGGATTAGCAAGGGCTCACGTGCCCAATTTAGACCCAAAAGAAGTGGGGGCAGCACACATCAAAAATGAGAATCCTTCATAGCAGCTCCTTTTTGTTCCAGGAACCCTCCTAGAGCAAAGGATTTCTTGAGTCATTCCCTCAGCCATAAAAATCTTACAGCTATTCTCAGTGAAGAAAAAAGTAAAAAAGAAAGGGAAATCTAAAATAGCTCTGGTGGGCGCGGGGCGCTGTCACTGGAGAAAAATTCAATGACTGAAAAAAATTAGAATTCAGTTGGAATATGTGAGAGCTGGAACTAAGGTGATGAAACACGGGGATGGCACAGGGAAAAGGGAAAGTGCTGGGGAGTCACACTATCTGGCTACAGAGCCACCTCCTTTCTGGGCCAAATGCTTGAGCTGTACTTTCTGACCTTGCATTTCCAAATATTCCTAGGCTCTGTCAAGGCTGTCGCTGGTGCGCCGTCTAGCCCCACAATAATGACAGCCCTGGAACCAGACAGGCTGAGACGTTCCTTATCCCAGGCCACTCAGAAAGGAAACACACACAGCATGATGGATCTCCCCCAAAGACTTTGATCATGGATTTGTCAGTCTTGGAGCTCTGTGGCCTTGTCTCAGCAGTTCCTTCTTTCCTTGTGCTAACATCTTTTCGGTGAGAAAAAGCTTTAAAAATAAAATTTTAAAGAACAGTAACACATACCCATTTTTTTCTTAATGTCTTCAGAATGCAGATTATCGAGTTTCCCATGAGCTCATATGTCATTTTCCCCTCACAGCCTTCGATTCCCAGCTTCATCTGTACTGCATTTCAACAGGCTGTCTCTAACCCACGAGAATGTCTTCCTGGTACTTGCACCCAGTAGACATCCAATGCAAATTTGCTGAATGGATTATTGTTATGGGTGTTATGGGTAACAGAGAACTCTTCTGAAGCCAAAGCATGGGCGATGAAATGATTCTCCATGGTCTTTGAAACACAGTAATGGAATGAAGAACTGTTTGTAAGCAATTTTATTCTAACAATACAGTTTTGATTTTGACTGACATACGATACAGGTTTGAATGCAGGTGAGGCTAGCATTCATGTGTTAAATACTTCATATCCTATGTATGAAAAGGTTTGAGGTATTCAAGGAGTCATGTGCAGAATATTGCTTTTAAATTTATTTTTAACACACTGCCAAATACCCAAGCCAAGATATATGGTATAGGAAAATTGAAAATATTAAATTTTATAAAACAATGTCTAAATTATTCCTGTATTTATCTTAAGGATGATATATCTTGACTTGGGAGAAATGTTTTTTTTATTGTACGAATTCAACTTTTCTATTAAATATATTTGAATAAATGCTTCAAAGTATATGGTTAATCATTACCTGTTTTTGTATCTGTTATATTGCTTGTACATATTTTCCAGGACTTCATATGTTGATTTTTGGAGGACATAAATTGTATCTGAAGTTTAATTGGCCTTATATAAGTACCACAGATAATGATGTCCAACCACAGAAAAGATCAGGAAAAGGTCATTGTACTTGAACATATTTCTTGGACATATTTTCATGCTGGCTTTAAAACCATTCTGACTTCTAAACATAAGATATCTGCAATCTATCTTATATAAACTTCCCCCTTCCCCCTTTCATCCTCTATCATCCTTAAGAGACTTTCACTCCTCATATTTTTCTCTTCTGACTCTCCTATACACAACCCTGGAACAAAATGACCTTTGTAAAATTCCTTAGGGTAAGGAACCTCCAAGTGGAGCAAGCCAAACTATCATTTTTATCTCTTCCAGAAAGAGTTTTCTTTTCAGGCTTTAATTTTGGGCCAACTGACCTAGCGTTTCAGATTTTTAAAACCTTTGGGAACTTGCCTTCCAGGGCTTATCTAAAATATTCTCTCCACCCCTCCAACAGATTTTCTCTTATAAGTTTAGGGAAGGAAAAAAAAAATGCAATGGGAATAGTGTTGAATGGAAAAGTGTAAGTGTGCTCACCTACCCTGTGTTAGCCTGATAGACTCCATCTTGCTGAGAGCCAGAGAGACTCCATCTTAACCTCCGCCTCACCCCTCCTGCCATTTCTCCCTTGAGTGCATACCTGGGTCATGCTACGGTGCTGGGTCATGCTGTGCGTAGAACTATGGAGGCATATAACCATTGTAACCATATCCTGCTTGGCAAGCCCACTTGCTATTGTGAATACCCCCCTTGATTGATTGCATGGCAAGCACTGAATACCACCCCCTTGGTAACCAGCAGTCATGGGAACCGCTTGTGTATACCCCCCTTGGTAATCAACAATCATGGGAACTTTCTGCCTCTTAGTCACCAGCCTCCTTATCTAACTTACTTGTTCTGCTTCTGTAAATTCTGCTTCAGCTAGGCTCCCCGTCCCCTATCTTAAACAAGGTATAAAAAGGAATCAAGCCCCTTCTTTGGGGCCGAGAGATTTTGAGCGAGGGCTGACTCTCGGTCGCTGGCAGTAAAGGGCTCTCAGTTGGAACCTTCTCACTTGCTCGGGTATAACATAAGAACATACAGTTGACACAAATCTGTTTTAGCCTTTGGGCCTTTGGAGTTATTAGGTCTGGGGAAAAAAAAAATCATAAGCAACCGTCCCACTACCTATTAAAAAACAGACATCGTAAAGAAGGGCTCTCTCGACACTGTGGATCAGAAAAGGGTAAATATAGAGATAGCAAATCCTAACAGTGTCTAATTCCAAATGAGTTTCACTTCAGCACTTCTGTACTTTGGTTCATGGGTTCCTTTATGCATTAGACATTTTTGGAATCATGAGGATAAAATATTTTAAAAATTATAATCTGTGCATACCAAAAGATTCACTTTTAAAGGCTTCATCTGATCATTTTCACAGATGAAATATTTCTGGGATATGAATATCTTCTGGGGTAGGTAAAAGGGAAAAACAGGTGAAGGAGAAAACAGACACATATAAAACAACAGTAGGAAAATGTTGGTATTTGTTGAAGCTAGATTATGTCTATATGGGGTTCAAAATACCTCTCTACTTTTCCATATACTGTATTTGAAAATTCCTATAATTTCAAAAAGGTAAAAAGCTTTATGATAAATTATGATCCGTAATTTTTAGTATAAATCCTTTTAAAATATGTATGGAATGGAGTCAGCAGTATTACTTTTAGCTGATTGTTGATTAGAACCACTTTATTTTCCTTGCAAGAGATTTTATGTTCTATTCAAAAGGATGGATGCAATTGTGTAACCCACATAGGACCATAAAACCGTATTTATGTATATCCTGTCATTTTCTTCTAACAATTTTAATCTTTGGTATGGAGCCCATTTTCCCTGACACACACACCTTATTCTCAGCAATGGAAAGGTAGTGTGCTGGAGTATCTCACAGTATAATCCGTTAGATAGGCTTTTATTTTCATATATACTCTTTTCTTCCCCACAGCAATGGTATGAGGATATCTCATCACTATCAGTAAGTCTAGATTAGGGAGGTTAAAAGAAACCCAATGGTACCTGGGTAGAACTGTCGGGTTACAAAGCCTATTTGTTGGTAATTATGCTGTGTGCATGCATGTGTATAGTTTCCAAAGGACTGGAAAAACAAAACAAAACCCAGGAACATTGTATTCACCAAATCTGAGGTGTGAGTTTATACTTTAGGTAAGAGTCTTAATGAAATCACTGCCACAGTTTTGTCCTAGTTCAGGGAAAATGGTATGTTCTGACCATTCGTCCCAGGAAGGCACCCCAGTGGCCTACTGAAGCATACCCTCTTCTATTGGGCTGATCACCACTCCCCACTTTTGGAAAAAGCAACCAAGGCTGCCCAGACAATGGCAAATCACAGGCGAACACAGTTTACGGGTACACACCATTCGATGTTCTACAATAGTTGAAATAGCTTACTTTTATTAATATTTTTCCTACTGTTTTTAGTGAAAATGGTACATTAAAGGCACATACTCTATGGCCAGTAGTGTGAACATAAAGAAATATATTTGAATAATATCTTTAAAATATTTCAAAGTTTTATTAAATATTTTTATTCAGTTTTAAGATCACAGTTAAAGTACTTTAGCATGTTATACACATGACTTACATGTGCAATTTTTAGAAATATCAAATTAGGTATAAGATTTTGAAGAAAGAAATTATATAAATGTGTATATTGACTTTTACTACACATACATCTAAGAAAGCAATAATTCTGTTGTACCATTAAGTGGAAATCATTTATTACATGGCATGTTTACACCAACTCTAAAGAGAACCAAGCCAATTTCTGAAAGCAAAACAAAAAACAAAACAAAACAAACGATGAGCGATTCAGTCATGCTGAAACTGTCAAGAGATTTTAGACCCTGGTGGTCAAACGAAGCTGTGGTTAATTTATGACATGTAAGTAAGCAATTCAAACCTATGAGAAGAGTTTATAATCTGGTATGTGGAATCTCAGGTGATTTTATTCTTTTCCTGACAAATTCCTGAGAGCAAGAGACTTGTTTAGTGCTAATGAAATGGAAAAAAACGTTGCTGAGCCAGTTGCTGAGCTCCAGATCACAAGACTTCCCTACCCCCTTGTTCCACGGCTCTTAGAGCTGAGGCACTAATGTGAGGAGTCAGGGGACGTGAGCCCACCCCTCTGGAGGGCCACAGAGCGAAATCAGTGTGAATGCATGAAACATGCATGTCTCTATGATTTAGGTTAGAGCTTGTGAGGTAAGATTTGCATTGTGGGTGGAAGAGTTTTGAGGCATTGATTGAATTAGATCCTTGGTACTCAGTAACCAGTTCTGGCCCAAGTTATCAGGAAATCTTTGGAGGGTGTAGTAATGTTCACAATAACTAGTTCTGTGCATAAAAATCGATTTAAGGGCATGATCAATTTTGACCACTGACTGCAAAAAGGAAACAGTGGCCACAGAATTTTTAAGCAAAAGGTCTCCTCTCTCAATTTAAGACTATAAATACCACCACTGATTAAATTTGGCCAGAAGAGGAACCTTTTTTTAAAAAGAAGATGGACATTTATGTATTTGAAGGAAAGGGTAGCACATACAGATGGGGATTATGAGGGACTCAAATACATTTGTCTTTTTATTCACGCTTGTTTTTTCTTTGTTCTGAAATGTAAGGAAGATAATGTCCTCAGTGAAAAGAACAAAGTTGTTTAATATGGAGCATAACAAACTTAGCTATCACTTCCAAACCAAAGGAAAGCAGTCCATCAAACCCTGAATACTTTGCCAGACACCTCTGGTAAGATGAACTGAACAGCTTCTTGTAACATTGTAAGTATGCTGTTAGTCAGTCTAAATAAGGTAATGTTCAAAAATCAAAAAACTCAAAACAAAATCCGTATCTAATTCTTTGGGAATGCTTGTATAAACAGAAGCAACATCTAATGAATAATTAGTATACTTTTTATAAGGTGCAAAATAAGGAGCTATTTGGGAGAGCTAAGTCTGAATTTCTACCTACCAGTCACTCTGAATACTTTACAGGTCAAATATAACAATAGCATTTGCTTCTACTGCCCATTTTCAGCAATACATTGTTCTCTCTGGAGGAGGTGGTTTGTGAAGTCAAAACACTGCAGTGGAAAATAGTGGCACTGAAGGTAGAAGCAAAAAAGACAAGCTTTTGAAACAGGACTTACTGAAATGAACTTTTAAAGCCGAGGTAGCCCATTAGGATTGGCCTTATAAGAGGGCTCTGTGGAGCAGTGCAATCAAAGGTGAATCTCCTCCACAGTATACACCCCCCAACATCCCCTTTACAAATGATGGCTCCAGGCCTCCTGCGATCTCCTTCCCTTTCCCAGGCGAAGCGGTGGTGCTTCTTTGCTGTATGGAATGCCATCCTCCAGCCTCCAGCTGCTCATCTTCAGAACACGAATGATTCATACAGTAGTTTAGCAGGCAGCATGGTCCCACTGCTTCACATTAATGTCGAATGCCAAACTTGGAACAGAGCTTTTTGGTATTTCCCCTCCCCTCCCCACCTTATAAACAAAACATGCCATTCAGTTTTCAGCTTCCTCCTGTTCTGTAGCAATGTATCATTAGCTTGAGACTTTACATAGGTGCAAACATTTCCATACACTGAACCAAAGACTGCAGAGTGCAAACAAAATTTCATCTGACTTACAGTAGCATCTGACTTAAGAAAACAGAAGGATTTGAACACATTGGATTCTAAACAACCAGACCAGTTCAGATGCTCCTTTTTGTTCATAGTGTTCCATCACTATTTTTTTCTCCAGCAATTTTAATGGCAGGAAGTAGAATCACAATGATAACGTGGGAATTCTTTTAACATGGCTTTGGGACATGGCATTGGTGGAAAGCTCATCTGACAGAATTAAATATATTTCTGATATTTTTGGGAAAATGACTATCAGAATTACAACGGTAGGATTTATCTTTTAAAAAGGGTGTTAATGAATTAACAGTTTTGATCTAAAATCTGGGAACTAACCTAATTTGGGGATAAGAACCTGTATTTCCAATGTGGCTGTGGGACATTTCTCTTTTTCCTGATCTCGTATACAGTACCCAAACAAATAAAAACTTTAAGGATGTCTTACAGTATTTTTTCTTTCACTCAGCTTCTTAGAGCTGCAGCTTCAGTTACTATAATATACTCTACACACTTCAAAATCACATAGGAAAGACCCAGAATAACTAAATAAATAAAAGGCTAAAGAAAACTGGAACAGTACTGCGTCTCCATCCGAGACGAAATCTTCTACTTCCAGCATTGCAGAGAAGGGCGAGGACAATTTTTTTTCAAAAGATTTATATACAGGCTTGAATCCAGAAATTAAGGTTAAAAGCATAAATATTGATAATTTCAACTAAATTCAGAATGGTTTCAGAAAGATATGATACAACAATTTAGAATAACACAAAGCAGAAGAGCATCATATTTTGGTTTGCTTGAGATATATATAAGGTGCAACAACTTTTTCTCTTGATGCTGTGGGACAAATGTTAGTGTAGATGGCATTTGCTGGCAGATTAAAACATACACTATAGCAATATGATTTTCCAAAATAAAAAATAATGAGAGAAATGAAATGAAAATGATAACGGGGGTGTGGAGGAGAGCACTACATATTGGTCTGAAATATTTGTGCTAACAAATGTTGTTACCTGAAAGTAACAACACTCCTCTCCTGCAGATTCAGGGCATGAGAAGCACAATTGCTGAAATCAGGACTTCACTCGGAGAATCGATGAGGTGAGTCTAAGGAACTATAAAGCTTTGCAGGATTTCTGCTACTCTCAGTGCCTGACCGCTTAAAAATTAAGCATTTCTACAAAAAGTTTGTTTTAAAGTATCTGAAAACAGTCATATCCAGTTAAGTTGCCCTCCCACCCCCAACCCTGCTTAAGGGAAAAGCCACTGAGGTTTAGGAAAAGCAGATCAAGTAAGATATTAATCACATAGAAAAAAAGTAATCTTTTGTTTTGCTTTTTTTTTTTTTAAAAAAAAAGGTCCCATGAATATACAGCCATCTCTTAAGGAACTCTAGTGAAATGTCATTGGAGGACTGAAGGAGGGTGCTCTGGCAAAAATAGATCTATTCTAATGTGTTCTATAGAGTAACAAGTCAGTACCATTGTCAAGGTGCATGTTCTGCACCACACAATTTTTGTTGTTGGTTTTTCGTTTTGGATTTTAGCTCATTACAGTTTTCAAATCACCGCTAGCGAGTGGTCCAAAACTCCAACAGCCACCAACTTGGGACCCAGCAATTTCAAACATTCCCTTTTTGTTCTGAAATTTAGAAAATATTAATAAAACAGCATCATAGTAAAAATATTATGCTGAAATCTGGAACTGCTCACTTGATTTATTCCTATGTGAATGGGGTTAAGCTGTAACTTTGGGTTAACCTTTTACTAATTCCTTCTTCCTCCATGCCCACCAGGAATATGAATTTTTGAGGACATCGTTCTGATGCTTTGCTACCCTCTTTACCTGCTTTGGAAAAAAGAAAAACCTCTATTTTTTTTTCAATCCTGTTAGTATGTTGTACGTATTTTCCAGCACCGGAACTAAAGTAACATCTACAGCCAGGAGAAGCTAAAACTAGTCAGTACGAATAGAGTCACTTTTTGTATGGCTATTAAGTCAAATTACAATTAGAAAAAAGAATCATTATAATTCAGTCAAGTATAAATAAGAAAGCTAGATAAAACCATGTAAACTGTCACCATTCAGAGATCTAATTCAAAAGCTTCAAACTCGAACTAGCACTGTCAAAATTCCACCAGTTTGAAAACCATTAAAAATTATTGCTGGAATCCAATAATGAAAATTTGGTAGTTTGTGCTGTGATGCAAGAGTGGGGAAATACTTTGTGCTATAGAACAAATACCCTGTGAAATCTGTAGCCTCCGACTAATTTTGATTTATCACTTTGCATCTGTTGCTAGGAAACAAGACACTGTGAACATCAGGTGGTTAAGTCAATATGTTCAATGTTCTAAAGCCAGTGAATCCACTTGGTGCTGGCATATGTATGGTTGGTTTTACGTTCAAAAGCAACACAACACAAAAAGGAAAGAGACTTGCAGGTGGATCTATGACTGAGAGTCCCACTCTGATCAGGCATACCTCCCTCATTGACTCAATGCCCCCTTAACAACGCAAACTCCAAATGGCTCTAAAAACCTGCAGTGCCAATCAGGCTGTGCATAGCAATTGCAACCCGTCCAGTCAATCTGTGATAGATGTAAAAGGTCTGTAGCTCCAAGTCCACATGAAGTGAGTGTCTTCAATGTGTTTAGAATAGTGAAGTAATACTAAGGTCACTTCTGAATAATATTTTTGTCTTTTTTTTGTTTGTATGAACAATCCATTGGTCACTTAGACCCCTGTGTAAAAATAAAAGAATCCTCAAGGCATGAAAACATCAGTAATCTGTAATCTGCAGGACTCTTCCCCTGTCTGGGAAAATATTTGCCACAATTTGCCTCAAGCAAATTCTTCATGGTCACTCAAGGCTAAGAAAAAAATTCAGATTGTAAGAGTTGTAATTTTCTCCCTCTCCCTCTCCCTCCCTCCCTCTCTCCCTCTCTCTCTCTCTCTCATTCTTTTTGCCAGCAAACTACCACTCTGGTGGCAAATATAAAAGTGCAGAATATATGGACCACGAGGCCGAGCATACACCGCTAACAATGGTACATCTGCCTGCCCGTGCTGCTGGGGGTCTCTGGAACAGGCTTTTTAATATTTATTCTACAATATAAATGTAGGTATAACCTATTATATAAACCATCTTAGAACTTAAATCTCCATGTACAAAAAAGACTAAGAATATCTAATAATAACTAGTGCAGTGCGTCAGTTTTTGTTTTGTTTTGAAAGAATAACTAGGTAATATATGAAACTAGTTTCACACTCTCTGGTTGGTAAAAGAGATGCTGGATGAGCTACAGTAAAGGCAGCCTTTTACCAAGTTACCACCTATTACTGTCAAAAGCCTTCAATAGAAAGCAAAGCTCCAGGATCATTCTGTTTCTGCTCAATATCAGACAGATAACCTTACCCTCAAAGATTCTGGTTCTGCGAGAACAAACTGGCCCGGATGCTAACTTCTGCTTCAAGTGAATCTGGGCCATGTGGGGCAACAAGCACTTGTTTGCAGTCTCTATTTTCCATCAACTGGACTCACTAGCATCCCTCGGTAAAGACAAGGCTAGGGTAGTAGGTAAAGCACAATGTTTTACAATGAAAGGGCGCTTCACTGGTCAGCGCAGGAAATAAGTACAGGAGCCTGTGGCATTTCTTTTGGCTGTCCATCATGGGTGAGTGGAGTTGATCTCTGACCTCTGTAAAATAAAAGGAAGAAAACAGTCACTTATTATTCAGCATGTTGTTAGAGGCAGGCGAGGATGATGCGTAACAGGTAAATGTGTTCCAATATCTTGTTTAACAGTTACCGCTGTTACTCACATCATGGAATGAAAACTGTTTTTGCTTTAGAGTTTTTTCTGTCCCCTTCCTTCTTTTTTTTTCCCCTTCCTCCTTCTCATTCTGTCTCCCTTCCTAAGATTTCATATATGAATTCCCCTCATACAACTCAACAACATACCCTCTGGCCTCAAATAACTAACCAGTTCCATTCTGAAGAGATGAAATCCAAAGTACCAGCAGATTTGGGGCAACTCTTTAAGAAGTAGACAAATTCAGTCAAGGACTGGGGTTCTGGACAATAATTTTCCTGTTGATCCACTGATATTAAAAATGACACATTTCTTTTCTTGACTTGCCTGAAGGGAAAGCGCTCCTATAATACTTGGTAACCTTCAGGTAACTTAGGGCTAATAAAAGCAATGACTCTAGAAGAGAAACAGAGATGGACTGCGACTCAAAAAAAAAAAAAAAAGAAGAAGAAGAAACAATAAAATCTATGATTGGTAGTCCTGTTGGAAAATGTCGAGAAAGTGCTAGTCCTGTCTTTTTAGAAATGAGAAGCTCTGTAGAAATTACCAAGAATTTTGGAGAGTTTTCTCATAACCATGAAGGAAATTGTATTTTTACTACTAATTATGCAGAAGCTAATGAAAACTCAGCTAATCACATGTACATGGGCAGAGGGTGTTTGGAGGAAGAAAACAAGTACTGATGCTGGATTTTACAATTTAACAAACTCTAGCCTAGCTGGGCCCAAATCAACACACACGGAGAGAGAACTCCAGACAGGACTAGGAAATTCATGGAAATTTCTATCATTTGGATAGAACCTATGCCAAACATAGCTGATTTTTCATTCAGCTTCTGCATAATTAGTAGTAAAAATACAATTTCCTTCATGGTTATGAGAAAACTCTCCAAAATTCTTGGTAATTTCTACAGAACTTCTCATTCTAAAAAGATAGGAGTAGGCACTTCCTTGACATTTTCCAACAGGCCTACCAATCCTAGAAAATGCACACTCGCTGTTCTGTAACCTACAATGGTCTGTAGTGCATAACACTGTACTGAAAATATGTGATGTATCAGCAATGTTTTCATTGGGTTGACCTTTCAGCATCGTATCTTCTTCAGAGTGCACAGAAGAAAAGGAACTATTTCAAGATTCAGCTTATAGCTGCTCTGTAACTATACTCAAGTTTTATGCACAAAAAAGGAAAAATAAGGTAGACAAATTTCAACATTTGGAGGTTTCAGCATCCAAAGGTCACTTAATAGCCCAAGGTATTTAGGATTTTAGAAAAGCAAAACACTTTAGAATCAAACCTCTGGATTAATCTATTTATTCACATGTGGATGTTTGTTATAGATACCACCGGTTCAATGTTTAGCTCTTTGTTCAAGGAGGATGAAATTAAAATGCTATTTTTTACTTTTAAGATATTAAAAGATCCAAAATTTTAGTTAAGTATTAGAAAAGTGGAAAAAAAATCAAAAGTAAAAGATGAAAAGTACAATGTAAAAAAAGATGGCAAAAGAGAGAGAGAAATTGGGGTGAAAGCCCAGCTTCATCACTGGAAAGAGGAAGAAGTCAGAATCACAGTGGAAGGGGACCATGTACTGCGACCTAGCCTCTAGCTCCCAGTGGAAGGGTCAGGTGAGACTCTTCATGATTTTCTCTGACATGACTGAAGCTTTCCTTTGGCAGTATGTCAGATAGGGAGTTCAAATTCTAACTTAGGCACAAATTGGCTGTGTGCTCTTGGCAGGTTAACTGTCATGAAAATGGGACTAAAAAAGCCCAGTTGGGAAGGGTAATTGAACTTCTAATAAATACACCAGTCTCTTAACAAAGGTTTGTTCCAACTCTTTATTTTCTGCATTTTGTAAAACTGTCTTTCTAAGTTAGGTTTCTGAACCTAATGTTAAGATTTTTTCATGGTATGAGTTCAGGTAATATATTTCCACCCCTAACTCCATGGGCCCCCCTTTAAACTATGAACCGAGTTGATGCTGAAGTAATACTTCATTCACTGCTATGCGACCCAGGTTCAATTACATTAAACGTACAGGTAGAAGCCTGGTGGGTAGATCTGCTTTCACAGGTTAGGGCTCAAGTTACAACTAAGACTCTCCAGGGTGATCTGTCCTTCTAACTATTAAGAATGTTAAGCATTTATTAGATTCATGGCAAAATTTTAGTAATCATTACTGTTCTTTCCAATGGGAGGTTAAAAAAAAATAAAAAGGACCTTCACTCTCAGTATTTTTTTCTATGCCTGCTACCTAACTTAGGCAGTCATACTTCAGGAACTTCCTCATTTACTCCTTCACCCACTCATTTGCTCATTTATCCATTGTTGTAACAGGCTCTAAGTAAGCTGGAAATATAACGAATAAAACCCATGTTTTGCCTTCAAAATATACTGAAAGGAGATAGAAGCATCAACAAATCAATACAACCCAATGTGATCTGAGAGAGGTGTGATCACAGCATGCAGGAGCAACAAGAAACACACAGCCTAGGGCATCAGGAGGACTGAGAGAAGAGGACCGTGGACAAGGGTGGGAAGGAGGAGAGCAGGTCACCTGAGCAGAGGATGCACATGGCAAGAGCTTGGCTTATCTGGAAAGGGGCAAGTGAGTCGACATAACTGCAGGGTAGGGAGCGTGAAGGACGCGGGGTGATGGGAGAGGGAAGGTTCTTTGCTGCGGTTTTCTGCTGAAGCAAATTGGGAATCACGGAGGGCTGGTTAACAGAGCAACGTTGTGACCACGCTTACTCTCAGCAAAGAATGCAGGCAGGAGCGAACCTGCTTATGCGGTAGCCTTTTCCTAGCCCTGAATTATTACCCCCCTCTCAATTCTTATATTCCCTCTTATTTCCACGGTTCACAGGGACACTTCATATTCAGGCAGATAGCTGAAATTCTCACTGCATGCCTATGTGTTTGTCCTCTGTCCTTGACCATACAGCTCCACAAGGGAAAAGGACCTGTGCATTGTCTCCCTCGGAGACCTTAGTGAATTTTAACAATGTCTGTCAGCTTTCACTTGCTATTAGGAACTTGCAACGTACACATAAAAAGGAATTTGACTTCTTGGAAATATCTAGAGGCTATTTGTGAGGAAGTACTCAAACTGTAATATGACAGATAAATAGCAAGAAACAAACCAAGCTCACGTCAGGGACTCCGGGTTTACCTGGATGTGAAAAAGGAGCGTGGGGCCTACAGCTGGCTACACAAACTGCACTGGGTTGCAAGCTCTTTTGTACTGAAGACTCAAAGTCTAAGAAAGCAGCTCATCCATGGGTACTACACTTTGAATAGTAATATAAAATACCTGAATTTACAATAGGCTTCTCTGCCTTCCCAAAGGATCCGTTAAGTAGCAGAATACCCAATTATACACTTAGAAGTTAATATACTTTCTGTGGGGCCTTGCTGAGTTCAAAGGGTTTTCACATCTATGATACCGACTGATGCTTACAACTTCATGATTCTTCAGGGTTATCATTATGCTCAATATAAGTACAGTGAGAAAACTAGAGTCCAGAGAGAAAAATTACTTCGTAGGAAATCACATAAGAGTTGAAGAAAAATCCAGGCCTCTTGCTTTCATGAGTCAGATGCCAAGATGCTCTTTTCCCTGAACTGCAATGTCTTCTGATGGCTGGTGATGGCACCAACATCATCAGCACTAGGGGTGTTCCACACACCAGCACTGGGATGCTAGAGTTATCCACATAACATCTCTATGAAATGACTGCAACCTGCCCATGTTTTTTTTAGAGGAAAAAACTGAGGGTAGAGAGGTTAATAATCTTGGTCAAGATCTTTTGGTTTACAGGTGATAGAGCTAGGACTCAAACCTCAGTCTGCAATGAGACTCCAAAGCTCACGCTCAATGGTCAGATAATACTGCTTCCCTGCTCTTAGGCGTTTTACAGAAATGCAGTTTAGCCACAGGATAACATATTCAACATAAAATACTCGGCTGACTATATTCCCTGGTATTTTCCCACATTTCTGTAATACCTCATATAACCAATAGTGCGCTCTGGAACCAAGTTAGAACCCCAATGCCCTATAAAAAAATGTTACAAATCACATCAGAGAGGTTGATCTGATTTCCATGTTGCTTCCTCCTTCCATGTTCTGCCACTCACCTGTGCACATTTTCCATGGCTGCCACTTCAGCCAGTGCAGCGAGGCTAAAGAATGCAGACACGGCAGGCATTTCTGGAGTGCTGCTCCGGGTCTCCGCGACCTCGGTGTTGTGAGAGCATTCGTCACTGCAGTCTGTCTCGGTCGCTTTCGGGAGATTCCTCTGCAGTTGCTCCTTTGGTTTGTCATCTGTAACAAAAGAGGAATCCATCATGAGAGGATCACTCTGTTCTCTCCAGAGAAGAGACACAGAAAATGCTGTGCCAGTCAACATGAAAAGAGCTAACGTTCTCTACTGTTCACTTTTGCTATCCATCGAATATTAAGGCTTTCATAGAATGTCTTCTCCCCTGTAACAAAGCTCTTTTATTAAGCTCAATTGCAACTGTGGACAGCACTGTGCCCTGAGGCTGAGCTGAAGAGAAGCTGTGTTTTCTCTGAGGTCAAAGAATGGGTCACTCTTCAAGCAAGAAGGAAAAATTAGCCTTGGCTAAAATAAAACTCAAGGGACTTCTGCAGAGGGGCAGAAGTAGATGCTGTAAAAGAGCCCTTAAAAACCCAACTGACTAAACATTTCGCATGAAGTTGTAGCATGCCCTACTATGGCAACTTGGACACTGGGTATGCTGTGATCACATTAACCAGTTCTAACGGGAGCCCGAGTTGTTACTTTGTTCCAAAGACCTACTGGAGAGAAGGAAGACAAAGAGCCCTCTGGTATTTACAAAGAGGTGGATGAAACGCTATGCAAGTATACCTGCTACAAATGAGTATACTTTATTATGTAGCCATTATAGAGAAGGGAGAATTATTATCATAGTTTTAAAAAAGTTGTAAGTATTGAAAATGATAAAAGCTTTAAATATTATCTATTAGGACACAAAAGTGGTGTGATGCTTTTCTATGTAAAAGGTAGTGTTTTCTTGTATTTTTTTACTCCTCCTCCAGGTGAAAACGAATGAGGATACAACAGTCTACAAAATGAAAGTCACAGAACAGAACTCAAATTGGACTGAAAAAGGAGGGAGGGGCCTGCTGGGCTAAACATCAGGACATAAAGGTTTTAGTCCTCATTCTACTTCTACCTTATTGAATGTACACAGACAAAAATTCCCACCTCTTTGAATTTTATCTCTTATATGACAGGGCAAAATCAAGGCCTTGAATATGTTCTATGTTTCTAACAATCTATATATTCAAAACACACAAAAAGCATCACAAAACACACAAAAAGGTAAACAAATTTCATGAACTGTCCTCTAACTAAGCAAACAGTTTACCTCTGTTAACACCTAGATTAACCTAAATTACATAAAATAAAATTCTGGAGGTGCTGAGAGGCAGAAAGGCAACAGCCAAGGCCCCTAATACTTAGCTGGTATAGCACTCCAAGATTTTAGGAGCGGGGGTCTCAGTATCATTCACTGGCCACACCCCTTGCCTTGGGCTCCTCAGGTCATTCCACTGTCAAAGAGGCTACAAGGAACAGCAAACAGACCACAGGCCACGACTGAAAATGAAGAACTCAAGAAATCCAGAAGCATTCTCAGGCTCCCTGCATGGTCTGAACCACTCATACAGGAAGTGCTGGATGCATTTTAAACCTTATCTACTGGTTTGAGTGCCTGTTAGTCTGGCTTGTAGTGACCTGAATAGGAGACCATGGTCAAATACTGATTCATGTAGTATCTTTACAAGTCTGGGGTCTCCTGGAATTTATTTAACATTGTTTTTGTGCATGTTGAGAAAGATAAAGGGAAGATGACTCCTAAAAATGAATTCTGATATGCTCTTAGAAAAATAGCTATGATTTTAAACATGGAATAAAACGTGTTTGGGGGTCTGTAGAAAGGTAGAGAATAGACTTATTTTTCAGTAAGAACCACAGTTGTTTACAGTCATTTGCTGGCATGGTGGTCACCTGCTTGCTCTGGTTATCTCTGTCTAAAGCAAGCCTGTCCAACCTACAGCCCACAGGCTGCACATGACCCAGGACAGCTGTAAATGCAGCCCAACACAGATTCATAAACTTCCTGAGATATTCTGTGTGTGTGTGTGTGGCCCAAGACAATTCTTCTTCCAGTGTGGCCCGGGTAAGCCAAAAGATTGGACACCTCTGGACTACAGCTCCTCTTCTTACCCAAAGTACCTCCTGCTGGTGATACCCGGCCATCTGCTGTCCTGACAAGGTGTGTGATCTTGGTTTTCCTTGCTTTTCTCTTTTGGCTGCCCACCAAAGGTTCTTGTGTTGTTGTTGGCTCTGGAGTGTTGAAAATGGATGGGATATTTTTAACCTTATGAACAGGCTCCGTGGTGTTTTTATCTTCTGAAAATATGG